CAGATACTGGAGGTAATTGGGGTGTATATGCACCTCAGCAGCGCATGCAGCAGCAAATAGTATTTCGTCCTCCAATTCGTTTGCTGCTAGAGGCAGCAGAAAGAAAAAAAGAAGAAAAAAAATTATTAGCTGCCCTCTATTATTTAGTACAAAATAACTTCTTTATTGAGCAGCAGCAGCAGCAGCAGCAAGTGCAGCAGCAGCAGCAGCAGCAGCAATTGCAGCAGCAGCAGCAGCATGGAGTGCAGCAAGATAATGGGGAGCAGCAGCGGGAGGAAGGTGAGTTACAGCTAGAAGATGAAGAGCAGAAAGATATGCTGCTGCAGCAGCAGCAACTGCAGCAGCAGCAATTGCAGCCGCAGCAACTGCAGCAGCAGCAACTGCAGCAGCAGCAATTGCAGCAGCAGCAACTGCAGCAGCAGCAGCAACTGCCACAGTACCAACTTCCGCAGTACCAACTGCCGCAGCAACCACTGCTGCAGCAGCAACTGCAGCAGCAGCAACTGCAGCAGCAGCAGCAACTGCAGCAGCAGCAGCAACTGCAGCAGCAGCAGCAACTGCAGCAGCAGCAGTTTCATGGAGCACCGGTTGGGGCGACTCCCCTGCAGTGTCAAGCGCAGCAGCAGCTGCTGCAGCAACAGTTGCTGCAGCGGCAACTGCTGCAGCAGCAACCCCAAGTACAGCAGCAGTTGCTGCAGCCGCATCTACAGCAACACAACGAAGTGACGCAGCACTAGCAGCAGCTGCAGCAGCAGCAACAGTAACAGCAGCAGCAGCAGCAGCAGCAGCAACAGCAACAGCAACAGCAGCACGAGGTGCTACGAAGGTAGCTTTACACCTTTTATATATATAAATACAGCAGCAGCAGCAGCAGCAGCACCGGCATTTGTTGCAGCGGCAGCAGCAGTAGCATTTGTTGCAGCGGCAGCAGCAGGAGCATTTGTTGCAGCAGCAGCAGCAGCAGCAGCAGCTGTTGTTGTCCCCTTGCTGCAGCAGTAGTTAGGGTGTATGTCTCCCTAGACAGTACATAGTTTGCTGCTACCTCCTCTCCGTCCCCTTGCTGCTGCTGCTGCTGCTGCTGCTGCTGCTCTGCATGCATGCATGCATGCATGCATGCAAGGGGGTTGTTGTTTTTTATTCTTCTTATATGTGTTAACAATTGAGGTGTACATACACCCCAATTATATTGTTTGTTTCCTTCAAGAAATGCTGTTTCTGCTGCTGCTGCTGCTGCTGTTATTGCTGCTGCTGCTGCTGTTGCTGCTGCTGTTGCTGCTACTGTTGCCTCTTCTTGCTTATTATTGGTTAGTTCTTTGTAGGGAATTGTTGCTTTATTTATTTATTTATTTATTTATTTATTTATTTATTTATTTATTTATTTATTTATTTATTTACTTATTTATCCTTCCTCTCTCCTTGTCTGTTCCCCTCCTGTTGAGCCTAATTAAGCAACAGTTGCCTCGAACCCCTAACGTAAACCCTAAACCCTAAACCCTAAACCCTAAACCCTAAACCCTCGACTACCTGAGGAGGCTAAAGGGCTGGAGGAGACAGAAAGGAGACAGCTAATAATAATAAAATAAATAAATAAATAAATAAATATATTATTTATTATTATTATTATACTTATTATTCTATTTATATATTTATCATTTATATAATAAATATTATATTTTCTTTATTGGGGTGTATAGGCACCTTGTGTGTATAAAAAAGAAGAAAACAGCAAATAAATAAATAAATAAATATTTTATTTATATAAAAGAATAAATAAATAAATAAATTAATTAATTAATTAATTTATTATTTATTATTTATTTATTTATTTATTTATTTATTTATTTATTTAAGGAGAAAGAGGCCTAAAAGAGACCGCTGTGTCCTGCAGCAGCTCGGCTGTCTGCGCATCACCATCGGTCTAGCTGCTGCTGCAGCTGCTGCAGCTGCTGCAGTTGCTGCTGCTGCTGTATTTAGACCATTAATTGGCTATTTTTAATTAAATAAAAAAAGAAATATAAATAAATATAAATAAATAAATATAAATATAAATAAAATAAATAAAAAAGGGGAGGAAATGATGGAGATCTGCAGCAGCAGCAGCAGCAGGAAGAGCAGCAGAATGGTCACTGCAGCAGCAGCAGCTTGCTGCTGCTCGCTGCTGCTGCTGCTGCTGATGGCTGTGTAGTGGAGGCAACGAACAGCTGTCTCCTTTTTATTATTAATTATATTATTTATATATAAATAAATAAAATAATTATTTATTTATTTATTTAATTAATTAAATAAATAAATAAATAAATCTTTTTCTTCTTTCTTCTCTCTTATTGAGCTGCCTATACACCTGAATTAAGGTCACCTTCTGCAGCAAAAAAGAAAAAGGTCTCCTTCTTCTTTTTCTTCTTTTCTTCTTCTTTTCTTCTTTTTATTTATTTATTTATTTATTTATTTAATAAAATGATTATAAGCAGCAAATTCTCCTTTATTCTTGTTGCTGCTGCAGCAACTGCTGCTGCTGCTGTTGCTGCTGTCTCCACTGCAGGGACACTAGGAGGTAGCTATTGTCCCTTATTTGTTTCTTTTTTTGTCTCCTTTTTTGTCTCTTTTTTGTCTCCTTTTTGTCTCTTTTTTCTTTTTATTCTTTTTTTTTATTTATTTATTCCTCCCTGCATGCATGAGGTGTACGTACACCTGACGCTTGTCTTGGCTAGCTAGGTCCCTCTTATGCCTCTTATTATTAATTGTCTCCTTTTATATATAAATTGTCTCCTTTTTATTATTTGTCTCCTTTCTTCTCTCTCCTCTTATTATGTCTCTCCTTTTTTTTCTCCTTTTTTTTCTCCTTTTTTCTCTCCTTTTTTCTCTCCTTTTTTTGTCTCCTTTTTTTGTCTCCTTTTTTGTCTCCTTTTTGTGTCTCCTTTTTTTTCTCCTTTTTTTTTCTCCTTTTTTTTCTCCTTTTCTTTGTCTCCTTTTCTGTTCTTTCCTTGTATAAAGTGTCTCCTTTTTTTATTAATTGTCTCCTTTTTTTATTAATTCTTTTTTTTTTTTATTAATTGTCTCCTTTTTTTATTAATTGTCTCCTTTTTTTATTAATTGTCTTTTTTTTTTATTATGTGTCTCCTTTTATGTGCTGCAGCAGCAGCAGCGCAGCAGCAAACTGCGCAGCCTGAGTATAGGGATGCAGATACTGTTGATGTTGCTGCACTAAGTGCAGCAGAACCAGCAGCAGCTGCTGCTCCTGCTCCTGCTGCTGCTCCTGCTGCTGCTGCAGATGCTGCTACTGCAGCAGAAGAAGAGACACCTGAAGGGGAGGTAGAAGCACCAACACAAACTGCTGCAGCAGCAGCACCAACTGCAGCAGCAGCACCAACTGCAGCAGCAGCACCACCTGCAGCAGCAGCACCAACTGCAGCACCAGAAACAGCAGCAGCACCAACTGTAGCACCAGAAGCAGCAGCAGCAGCACAACCGCCTCCTGCAGGTGCAGCACCAACAGCAGCAGAAGAGACTGCAGCAGCAGGTACTGCAGCAGAAGCAGCTCCGCAGCAACCGGTAGGTGCAGCAGGAGAAGCAGCAGAAGAAGCAGCAGCAGCAGCAGGAACAGCAGGAAGGAGACGAAGGTCTCGTAAGTCCCGTAGGGGAAGAAGAGCTGAGGAGACACCTGAAGGAGGAGAAGAGACACCTGCTGCTGCTCCTGCTGCTGCAGAGACACCTGCTGCTGCTGCGGAGACACCTGCGCAGCCGCAGCCGCAGCAGCAGCCGCAGCAGCAGCCAACAGGAGGGGCAGGAATAGAACAAACACCTGGTAAGAAACAAGAAAAGGAGACACTGTCTCCTTTTATTATTAATTAATTAATTAATTAATTAATTATATAATAATTATTTGTATAAAATAATAAATATTATTTATTATTATTATATATAATTATTTTATATAATATAATAATAATAATTAATAATAAATATATAATTATTTTTTAATTAATTAAAAAGGAGACAGTTGTAACTGTCTCCTTTTAATTAATTAATATATATTTTTTGCATGCATGCATGCATGCATGCATGCACTTTTTGGGGCTTGGTTTTGCTGCATGCACCGATTTTTTTTTCGGGGCTTTTTTTGTGCAGAAAATAAGCTGGTGCAAAGTTTCTTGGCTATTGAGCCTGTTAGTGCTCCAAGTAAGTACTAATAAATAAATAAATAAATAAATAAATAAATAAATAAATAAATAAATAAATAAATTAAATAAATAAATAAATAAGCAAATAAATAAGTAAATTAGTAAATTAATTAATTTATATATTTGTATAAAACTATTATTTATATTATTTATATATTTATATTATTTATATATTTATATTATTTATATTATTTATATATATTTATATATATTTATATATAAAAATATAAATATATTATTTATACAGTATATAGTGAATAAATATCTGCATGCATGCTTTTATTTGCTGCTTCTGCTTCTGCTGCTGCTGCTGCTGCTGCTGCTGCTGCTGCTGCTGCTGCTTAGCTCGTGAGTATTCAGAGGCGATGGAGCTCTTGGCGGCGATTGATTTAACACCAGCAGAGAGTAAGGAGACAAAAAAAAGAGACAAAAAAAAAGGAGACACTTATTTATATTTAATTAATTAATATAATTAATTTAATTAATTATTTAATTATTTAATTAATTAATTAAATTAATTAATTACTTAATAGATATAATAAAAAAAAAGAAACAGATAAAAAGATTTAGGGTTTAGGGTTTAGGGTTTAGGGTTTAGGGTTTAGGGTTTAATGATGTTATATTTATGTACAGAGATAGATGAGGATCTTCGTCGCAGATTAAACACAAGAAGAGGTACTTCTTCCTGCTGCACCCCCCACCATGACAACCACCACCATCAGCAGCAGCAACAGCAGCAGCAACAGCAGCAGCAGCAGCAGAAGCAGCAGCAGGAGAAAGGAAACACTAAATATATTTTTTTTTTTTTTTTTTTTTTTTTTA